CCACAACATCTCTACAACATCTCTCGCACATGTTACTCGCAATTGACAGCTTACCTCGTACGAAACACTTTACATCGTTACATTTCCAAGCAGGTTACCCGCGCTTCCAAGCCACTACCCACGCCTTACCAAGGAGTCCAGGCGCAAACTCACCCGTACTCAGCCCCTCGGCCCCTCCAATGCTTCGAGCAACGCCACACGCGTCCAAGACGCATGGCATCCAGAGAGCGGAAATCCAGTTGCCCCGACCGCCCGATCCAATCTAATTGCAAGCCACACATGGGGATTGAGCATGTTGACAGCCCAATGCTTACCGCCGCTCCGCCCATTCCGCTACATGTGTTTCGACACGTTATCTGCTCACCGCAACGTAGACTTGTTCTTGCGGCAGACTTGCCGTCCAAGACTCGTGCCAATAATGCCCAGGTTCCGCCGCGGATACGCTGGATACGCTGTTTGCGCTATGGGGCTCCGCTCGGGCTTGGGGTTGGGGAAGAAGGAAGGGGTGGGAAAAGCAAGGGCGGTGGTGGAATGTGAGAGGGTGTAAACAGAGCACGTGTTTGGGGAGTGTCATTGAAGGTCTTGCGGAGGCTTATGAGCTATGAATCTCCTAATATAAGCCTGCCCTTCGTCTACATCGTCTTTCCCATCACCGAGTAGACACGCGCATTCCTCATGTTTAGTAACTCATACGACCAACCCACCTTACACACAAACCAGGTATCCCCATCACAACCGCCAAGCCCAACACCAACACGCAATGCACCAAGAACCCCAAGCAGTCGTTCGTAATAATCCTCTCGTGATGAGCGGAATAATCTCGTACCCAGGCGCATCCATACGTAAGAAAGCCAAGACGTATTACGGTGGGGTTTCGCCGAGTGAGAGACCCACGGACAGATGTGGTTTCATGTGGTTGCGCGTCGCTGGCGCGTTCGTTTTACGACTCTGAGTATGAATGTGTGTGCAGTATAGTGAAGGCAAAGGAAAGAAGTGGCCGGGTACAAGACGGGTATGTCGGCTTGATAGCACTCTTAGGTAGCTAGGATAGACTTTGTGGGTGTGGCGCGTATGTCCTGCCCATCCCCCGATTCCCAATTCTTGGGAACGGACAGGCTGGGTGATGAGTGCCACAGTGGTAGATCGTCAGCTCTCTCGGGTAGAGTTGCGATCATTGTACATGACCCCATACTGCAGTCTGGCAATATCAGACCGATTGCTTGGAAGTTAGGTGATGAGCAAGATGCTCGAGGGAAAGTTCCGCGCGGAAAAAGGGCCGAGGAGATGAAGCTATCTTTCTCGGTCCTTTTCCCTTTCCTTCTGCGAGCTGCGTTTGCGTTCGTTGCCAATGTGAAACCGGGATGCCCATCTGACGTGTGTCTGGGCATGCGGATAGCACGGCTTGCGCTGTTTATGCGATGGGTGTGATCGTCGTTGTGTTAGGTGAGGGTGCGGCGCGTGGTGTTCAGGAGCGCTGGATACATAGGGACGGTATGTTGATCGTGTATTCATGTTTGAGAAAGTATTTGTATTCATCGAGTTGAGCTTGCGCTGGGGTTTTGATGCGCAATTGTAGATTCGTGTTCGTATTTATCGTGCTCGTGACGTACTCTCCTACGATCTAGATATTCTTAACAAAAACATTAGGGCATTAGACATAACAGTAACGTATGTGTACAGAAAAAGGAATGTATGGTACAAGAAGAGGAAGAGGCGGAGAACGCGGCGTTCCGTCCGCGTTCATACCAAAGCTTTGGCTTTGGTGTGGAACTTGTGTGCGGGTCGTGAGACGGTATGTGTAAGGTCTCTGCTGTCGCAGTGCGATTCGAATGGCTTATTGGCGATACGAAAGGACACATTCGTATACAACTGATCGTGTAATGCTGACGAATGTTGCTTTGCTTCGTCATCTTGCTCCTGTCAGTGGCGGCGTGATGTGTGGTCGTGCTATCATCTCCGGGTAGGGGAACTTCAATCGTTCCCGCTCGAATGTACTTGTCGTATAGTAATCTGACTCTTCATCTTCTTATGGCCTCTGCCCCGCATAGTCTCTCTCGCCATGCAATTCTTGAGGCACTGTTCTACAATCGAAGGGTCGCTGTCGAGAAACTGCTCGTTCAAGAACCAGCTCGAGCTCCTCTGTACGGACAGCCGCAAGCAACTCCTCTCACTCCCGATTTGCTTCTGGAAGTAATGATCGAGGAAGGCGTAGGAATCGTCAAAAGTCTTGTAGCAGCTGTTGCATGCAAAGGTCGCTTTGTCGTTGGTCGCCATCGTGTCGAGCGCAATGTGCGAGGTGAAGAGTATACATCTGGATGCGGGTAGTCCAGAGTGTGCGGCCACGGAGATGCATGCATCACAGTGCGGGCATATCTCGCGGTCGTCGTGTTTATCGTGTGGGAAAGCTTTCTTGGCGCGTAGTGTGCTCGATTTGGACTCTTTGAGGTCTTTCCGCAGGTTGTCTGCGAATGGACAGAACTCTACTTTGAAACGTGGAGGGGGCAGAACGGGCGATAGGATTGGCGATTCGAGACGTGCGTATTGTTCGCGCAGGGCAGTAAGGCAGGCGCGACGGACGCTTTTGGCGGTCGTAATTATGTTGTCAATGGGTATCGTTGGTGTCGAAGAGAAAACGCTGTCGTAAAGTGGTTGTCTGATTTCGTATTGGATTCGTAGGAGTTGTGCTGAGAGGATGGTGTTGCATTTTGCTACACATGGTCAGTCTCTATCATCTCGGGGTTGAACCGCGTACTTACTGTCGCCTTCCTCGAATCGTGCCCCAAATCTTGTTTTTCCTTGCTCCATGATCCTTTGGATCTGTCCCCCTAGGCGTAGAGCTTTGCCAACAGCATCGTCGCGGTTCTTCGTGCCGAGACATAACCATTTGGAACGCGTGCGACGATGCCGCGCCTGCCACTGCTCGTACGCTTCATGCGCATCCTGGAATTCGCGATCGATATCCCATAGCGTAAGAGACCCATGTGTCGATTTCTCCCACGAGACAGCCATGTTAGACATTACACCAGAAAAATACGCGTATAGAATCGCAAAAACAAACAAACAAGAGGAAGCGGGGAAAGCAGGCGAGCGACGAAGGTGAGTTTCAGAAGGGAACAACTATCCTTAAAGCAGGAAGAGGTCTACCGTATGGGGAAATATCTCCAAACCGCACGATCTCGATTAAGACGCAGAAACCTGAAAACGCAAGGGCATTGAGAAAACAGAGTCCACAAGCTTGCGGGTGCTGCGCTGGCTTTACATACAGCTGCGAGATCCTGCGTCATGTCACCCGCAGGTACCAGGGCCACCGCATAGGGAGGCTCGCAGGCGTGGAAATTAACTGCATATCCATTGCCGTGGCTGTGTGGCGGGTCTGGGCGATATTGAAGGATTGAAGAAGCGAAAGTTGCTCCGGCACCTCATCCTCCTTTCCCAATGGTACGCAAGCTGCTATGCACCGCCAACCAGGAACGACAGGTCCATGTGGGAACATGCTGGTCCGTGAAATTCAGAGAAGGGAACTATAGCTGGTAATCATATCGCGGGTGCCGAGGATCGTGATGAAGATGCAGGGGCAGCAGCAATGATCCCTCGCGCCATGGTCCGAGCACTCCCGTATCCTCCGATTAAGGACGCCTTATTCGAGTCGTGGCACGCTACGGTAATGACAATCACCGCCGCATTGAATTGGCCTTTGATATGGTCGTGAGTGTTGTTCATGCGAGCGGCGTGTCGTCGCCTGTCAGCCTATCGCCGGTGTTATTGAGTGAAGCTTCGCTACCAGGGTTGCGCCGGATTGAACCCCACGTCTCTCGTCGTGTCGTGCCCCACCATGGAGATCCTCGAGCTTCATTCCTGCTTGCTGGCTTCCTCTGTTGATTGATAGTCATACTACATCTTACAACAATGTCTACCGGCCACTCACACGAAGGCGCGTCGCATTCGCATTCGCACGAGGCTGCGGATCACGGCCACACGCATGAGATCCTCGATGGGCCGGGGAGCTACCTGGGCCGCGAGCTGCCCATCATCGAGGGAAGAGACTGGGAAGACCGGTCCTTCACTATCGGAATTGGAGGGTATGATGGACCCCGTGTGACACATAGATGTCAATATACTGCTCGGCCGACTTGATGCAGGGTTGGCATGGCAAGATGTACTATATCCTCAAGATACTGACCAGCCTAGACCGGTAGGCTCGGGCAAGACAGCCCTCATGCTAGCCCTCTGCAAACACCTCCGAACACGCTTCTCCATAGCCGCGGTAACAAACGACATCTTCACGCGAGAAGACTGCGAGTTTCTCACCAAGAACAATGCCTTGCCCGCGTAAGAGCAACCACAATACACACATTGCCGGAGCATGTTTGACGCGACTATAGTGAGCGCATCGTCGCTGTCGAGACTGGAGGCTGCCCCCATGCCGCTGTCCGCGAGGACATCTCCGTCAACCTCATGACGCTCACCAACTTGCACCAAAAGTTCAACACGGACCTCCTGCTCATCGAGTCAGGCGGCGACAACCTCGCTGCGAACTACTCGCGCGAACTCGCCGACTTCATCATCTACGTTATCGATGTCTCCGGTGGTGACAAGATCCCCAGGAAGGGTGGTCCGGGTATCACGCAATCAGACCTGCTGGTTGTCAACAAGATCGATCTTGCTGAAGCGGTCGGTGCGGATCTGGGTGTCATGGAGCGGGATAGCAGGAGGATGCGTGAGGGTGGGCCGACTATCTTTGCGGTTGTCAAGAGGGATCAGGGTGTGGATGCTATTGTGGACTTGATTCTGTCTGCGTGGAAGGCTTCTGGTGCTACGCAGGCCAGGAAGGAGAAGTTCGAGCCTACGTTGATGGAAGAAAAGTAAAACGACAACGAAGAAGCCACAGTGTGTTCCGAGCAAACTCAGTCATGGCTCACGCGTGTTCGCAGACATGATGTTTATTGCAGAACGTGAACGCTACGAATTACAGACTATAAGCAATTATATACTGGGGAACCTTACAACTTGGCACCACCCTCTATATCTACACTTCCCTTGAGCAAGTCCCAATCCGCCATGGTGAATACAACGTATCCATCATCACCGTCACTCTTGCCCTTGCCAGATCCAAGAGCGGCCGGGTGCCAGTACATGGTATCGTATTCCGCCTCTTCCTTTCCTTGCTCCTTCGCCTCCTTATCCGCCCTCTCCATAAGCCTCCTCAGATCAATACCGTCGTTTCTCAGCGGAACCTTGTTCTGCTTATTGTTGTGCATCGTAGTCTGCTGTTTCTGTATCCTCAAGAAGACAGGCACTGCGTATTTCGGCAGCTTCTCCTTCGCGTGAGCAAGGAGCGCGTTGAAGTTGAACGAGTCGAGATGTGCGGGGTCGATGTAGATGGCTGCACAGCCTGCGCGGCCGTCGTAGCCAGGCACTTCGACACCATAGACGTTTGCTTCTTGAATTCCGGGGAAAGAGCCAAGTGCCTCGCTGACTTCGGCTGTGCTCACGTTCTCCGACTTCCAGCGGAAGGTGTCGCCGAGGCGGTCCATGAAGAACCAGCGGCCGTCGGCGTCGCGGCGGAGAGCGTCGCCTGTACGGTAATACAAGTCGCCTTTCCTGAAAACATTGCGTTCGAAGCGTTTCTCAGTAGCATCCGGGTTGTTCCAGTAGCCGACAAAGGCTTGCTCGCTCGGCATCTGTACGAGGATCTCACTGCCCTCCTCGTAGGACTTGCGTTTGCAGAATCCGGTCTTAGGATCGCGCAAGAGGTCTCCGGTTACGAAATCGATCTCGACTGGGACGTAAGTGTTATGGGAGCGCCAGCGCTCGATGATACCCTGGTGTCCAACTGAAGTTGCTGTGAAAGGCCCACGCGAGCCATTGAAAAGCGCCATGACGCCCTCTGTGCTGTTGAAGAACTCGCCGACGATCTCGATGCCGAAGCGATCGACAAAGCGCTGCCATACATCGGGACGAAGACCATTGCCGAACATGGCTCTAACATTGTGTTTCCGGTCGAGGTCGCTAGGAGGGGCGTTGAGAAGGTAACGAGCTGTCTCTCCTACGTAGACAATGGCGGTAGATCTCGAATCGCGTACGTCGGTCCAGAATTTCGATGTAGAGAACTTGGTGCCGATACAGCATGTAAGGCCGGTGACCATGCAGACGAGTGCCGTCGTGCCTCCCGTACCGTGGTATAGCGGCATGCAAACATACCACCTATCGCCGTTCGGTCCTGTTTTTAGTCCCATAGCACCCACACGCTGTGTCAAACCAACGGCTCTTTGCGTCTCGAAGGGGCAAGCTTTCGGGTGTCCAGTTGTGCCACTGTTGTAGTTAGCATTGTCCTCTTCACAGCACAGCGGCGGTAACTAACCTTGTATAGAACAGGAAGAGCGGGAACTTTCCATTCATGCCCGCCCTAAGCTCATCCTCAGGCTTAGTAGGTTCCAGCCTCGATATCTCTCCCTTCAACCCGGTGTCCAAGACCAGTACAGTCATGCCCAGCTCGCTCTCCAACCTCTCCCTGACAGCTTCGATGCGGTCTCTGCACTCCTGGTCTTCATCCACAAGCAGCACCTTGGCGCCGCTGACTTTCAAGCAGTGCACCAGCGCATCGCCTGCGAGGTTGTAGTTGATCCACGCCGGCGCGCTTCCTATGCTCCAGCTACCCAGATGTGCAAAGAGGAACTCCGGCCGGTTCATCATGTACATGGCAAAGAGCTGCCCGGGAACGACTCCATTCTGGCGGAGGTATTGGCCGTATCGGCAGGCGTTCGCGTAGGTTTCGGCCCAGGTGTAGCAGCCGGTTCGGGACCAGATGCATTCTTCGGTCGAGGGCAGGCGGTGTACTTGGGCTTCGAATTGGTACCACAGAGATTGGCCTCTGCCTTGTGCTGTTGTCTTGTTAGAACGTGGGTGGTAGGAGGCATACGCAGCTTCGGCTTACCATTCTTCTCGAGATCGCGCGCGGCAGCTTTCAGGACGCGTTGGCCTTTGAGGTCTTTGGTGATGTGGTATTTGGCGTCGATGTAGGCTGCAGCGGCAGTAACGCCTGCGATTGCGCCTGCTACAGCTTGAGGTGCTTCAAAGCTTCGTTAACCAACATGTACGACGACGGTTGTGTAGAGATGGTCGGGAGCTGGATGGGACGACAAGCGCGCCACGGCCGCTACTTGAGATGGGAACACGCACCGATCGGAAGAGCCATGATGAGATCTTTCTTGTATGTCTTTGAATGAAGAATGTACGTGAAAGATGCGCAGAGAAACAATGAAGGTAAATGTCGCGACAGAAATGCGCCGAAGTCTGCCCAATGCTTCTAGATAACCTGCGACATGGCCATCCGCAACGTGATCAATTGCCGACATGCCCTCGGCCTCCCAACCGCCGTTCTACGCCAATGCACGCGGCTGGCGGCCCCAGAGTACCTAACCCCACGTGTTGAGCCCCACACCTACCCGTAACTCTACTCTGCAACCTTCATTGCGATGACTTCGGACCTTTTCCACATTGGCCATGGATTAAAACGTTGGCGATGATTGATCCGCCTGGGCACAGGATAGCTGGCGCAGCCATGCCTATATTTAGGAATTTCGAGGCTGCTAACAACACACCCACAGTCACAGTTTGGGAAGAAGAGTTATTCTGTCCTACGTTATATTGTTTCGTGTCGACATTACCGGTATTTACACTAGAGCTTCGCCTCAGAACTCCTAGCGAAATGAGCATTCTACCTACATTACCGCAGCTCTTCCATTAAACTCACATATGCTTGTGGAAGAAATCCAACACCATCTTGTATCCGCGCTCGTACTCCTTCCTGACCTTCTCCTGCGAAAGGTCACTGCGCGCCGCCATCCAGCCGTGGATCTGGTCTGGGAACCACTCAACCACGTGAGGAACCTTGATGCCTTCCTGCCACTTCTTGACGTCATCCTTTGACTCGTCGCCTGATGGAAGCATGATGTAGGGAATCTTGATGCCGGGGGCGTCGTCGCCAGCAACCATGGCGGGGTGGCATGCTGCTGCGACCTTGAACTTTGTGCCTTCCATGGAAGACAAGTTGACAATCTGTACAGTGTTAGGAGATACGTCGTAGGTGATCTGGCTAGCTCTTCCGTACCTTTCCGCCCCAGCAGAAGCCAATGATAGCCCACTTCTCAATTCCGTACTTCTGAGTGAGTTCATCGACAATCTTCGGGATGCGCGGCAACGTCTTTGGCGGCGCAGCCTGCGACTGGAAGAACTCGCCCATCTTCTGCTCCTTCTCCTTGGTGTCCGGGGGCATCCAGGAGATGTCGGCTGGCTTGCCCTCGAAGAAGTCGGGCATGAAGACCTGGTACTTCTGGTTGTCGGTGTAAGCCAAGATATCAGCACCTTGGAGTGTTTGGTTGAAGAATCCAAAGATGTCGTAGACGACTAGGATTCCTTGTTTTGCGTCCTTGGGGCCGGTTTGATCTGTTGGAAGTTAATTGCGGTCCCTGGTGATGTCGTGCTGGGACGTACAAGTCTTCAGTCCGTCTGCCTCAATGTAATCGCCCTTGGGTTGGTAGCCCTCGCTGACTACAGCGGGTGTGTTGCAGCATGCCTGCGACTGTGTGGATTCTGTCGACATCGTTGCGGTCTGTTGTTTGGAGATGGCGGATAGCCCTTGTTTACGTGGAAGCGTTGTTGGGCGGAGTGTAAAGAAACGTGGTGCCGCAATTGAAAATCCTCGTAAGTTCTGAGGTAAGATTCGAGCAATTGGAGATTGAAGAAGTGAAGTTGTTCGAGCAATGACGCGCATTATGAGTTGCTAAGGTATTTGTCAAACTGTCAACGACGGTTGGGTGGGGAACTGAGCACCGCGGCTACCCCACCATGATGTCACCAACAGCGTGCTCTTGCCCGAGACGATGAACATCGCATATCATCTGGAAATAACTAGAAGACTACATGCAATCATACAACAAAGACTCAAGACACCGAACCCTCCATCAAGTCCATCAATCGGAGTCGCGATTAGGATTCAACCGGCAATTCCAACAGTCTCCCGAAATCGTACCTTCTACGTCACCCTTCCACCCGCAGGCACGACTTCGACAAAGGTGGTGATATTGACCGCCATGATCTCCGTCACGATCCTGCTGTAGGATAATTTGACCTTGCCAGGATTCCACTTCTCGTTCAGCGTCTTGCCTACGAGCGAGACATCGCTCGATTTCATAGAGTATGTCACCTCGGCAGGATCGGTTCGATAGACTATCGACGAGGTCGGCGCTTTCCTTCGTAGTGTTCGGCTTGTCTCAGTTGAGCGGCCCAAAGCCTTTTCCTGGTCTCCTCATCAGGCGCCCGAGGCATCATCTCAACGTTCACAATGATGTGACCATCATCGGTCCTTCTTGGCAAGGCGCGCCTGTAGAACAACATCGTTTCCGACCAAGGCTCGGCGGCCATTACGCGCTGGGCTTTCTTGAGTTCGGCCAGATGCTCATTGAGATAGGCATGTACTTCGGTAACAAATTGCCTCAATGTGATGTGCTTCCCGTCTTCGTTCTCGATGATTAGAGGAGGTGGGGGTCGATAGCCGTCCTCCTCAGGGCTAGAATCGTACGAGAGGTCGAACTTTTCGAGACATTCGCGGCTGTTCACCTCGATGCGGCTCAGTCCAGGCTCGCTAATCTCTTCGTTCGCATAGGGGTGGTCGATCAGCGGGACAATCTTTTCTTCGTCTTTGGACCCCACCACAATCTCAATATCGTGCCAGCCGGTCAACAGATTCCATCGTAGCCGGCACAGGAGGTCCAGGCGGATGCAGTCGTTCACCAATTGAGAAGGCATGACAGCGTAAGTTGACGTGAGGCCGAGGAATGTGCCAGGAAGGATTTTGCAAATTGGGGGGTGAAAGGTGAATGCTGAAGGTATCATGAGAATGTGGCGTACTCCAATAAAATACATGAGTTCCAAGACCGCTAGGGATTTACCCGGGCCTAACTGGATTGGCTATCTAAGCATCCAAGTTCAGCTTCTCTAGCAAGGTGTCTATCTTTCCCAGCAAGATTTGATAATTCATCGCATCCTGAGCAAACTCATCACCAACTTCCTCGCCGTCTAAATTCCTAATCACACCAGCAGCAATCTGTTGCTCAACCGCCGCGATGTTCTCGTCCTGCTGTACACTGTCGGGTACACTGTCTTCTAATGCGAGATCGCCCATTGTGTCAACGAGATCTCCCTCGGTACTAGCTTGCATGGCTGCGTTCTCATCCATCATCTCATCCAGCCCGCTGTCTTCGAAGCGAAGCCTGAATCGTTCCGAGAGGTAGTAGCGAATATCGTCGACAAGTTCGACAGTGTCAGTCTCCTGACGTGCCTTGACGCGATTCGCAGATTCTTGCACCAGCTCTGCAAACTCAGGTTGGTCGATGTAGTGTTCCAGTCGATAGGCGATGTATCGCGCAGCAAATTCTTCGAGGCGTTGCACCCTTGTATCCCACCCGGCTCGAATAACTTCGTAAATATCCACGGCCTCATCGGCATCTGTAGCTCCCCGTGGGTTGTCTGACTCGACTGCTGAGGTTGCGCCATTGCCTAGCGCAGAGATGATGATGGCGGCGCGCTGCTTGAGCTTCTCGATGAAGAGCTGATCTGCAGCGAAGAGCACGTCGATGGCAATATCGAGTCCGAAGTCGGCGCGCTCGGTGTACATAAAGGTGAGTATGGTTTCCAGGACGGCTGGCGAGCAGTCAATGGTTACAATCTGCAAATGCGGTGTATCTTGTGCTTCTTTGAACTGCGAGCTGAACATGGTCAGGAAATATTCGGAGCGCAATAGCATAGCTCGATGCGCAGGGAAAATGGTCGATTTACGGGACGCTCGTTGGCGGGACGGCGACCTCGAACGTGAGCGACCTGATCCGACAGGTATGCCTAGAAGAGGCCCCGGTGTGCTTCGCACAGGCGGCGTAGATGACTCCGACGGCCCTGGTGACCGATCTGTGCCATCGGAGTCTTGGTCCTCGTCATCGTCATCGGCGCGCAGTAATATATCGGCGAAGATGGAGTTTTCCCGGTCCCATTGTATACTGTCCACTTTTGCGGTGTCTACGACTCTTTTATGCCGGAGGACGTTGTTCTTGAACCAGCCCTCTAGCTGATCTCTGCCGCGTTCTAATTCTTCTGCTCTTCGCTGGCGTAATAATCTTCGATCGGAGACTTCTGTTATATCTTCAAACAAGCGTTCTATCTCCAGCTGCTTGCCAATCTTGTCTATGCCTTTCAACACAACCAGCTCCTGCTCGTCACTCAAACCATGTAACGCTCTCCGTATCGAGACTTCCTGGAAGTACAAATACTGCAACGCCACACCTAGCGATTCGGCGGGTATAGTATTGGGAAGTTTCCACGACGTTGTGTTCGGCGCTGTCTCGAGCTTCTTCGCAAAGTAGGGCGATCGTGCGGCGAGGAGGAATTTGTGGAGGTGGAACTCTTGGCCGAAGGCTGTTATTGTGATGTCTGTTGTCTTGGGCGACGGTCGCGTGAGAAGCGAGGTAATATGTGCTGCCAGCGGTTGTAAGGGATTCGAGGATTTCGCATAGTCGTAGGATAGCAGTAGGTTACGTATACGGTCGTTGAGCGCGTTGTATAGACATCTCTCGCCTTGAAACGTGTCGCGTTCGCAGAGTGCACCGTTCTCGAGGAGCAGGCGTATGACTTCGTAGTGACCGCATAGACTGGCCTTCAGCGGTCAGCGCTCTGAATTGAATAGCGAATTGTTTAGATTTGATTGAAGTCGGAGATTGTCTTACTAAGATAAGTGGGGTGTAATCAAACCTGTCTCTGGCGTTGATGTTTACCCCCGTCGATATCATTTCCTGGCAAACCTTCAAGTCTCCCCGCCGGCATGCTTCACAGAAGACCCTGAAATCCTCACTCGTGTCTAGCGGATTCTCTTCCTTGAGCTGGCCCGAGGAAATCGCCTGAGCTTCGGTCGCGAGGGCGGCCTCGATCTCGTACTTCTTCTTGACGTCCATGGCTGTGGCGAGAGGGAGAGGTCCTCAGTAACGGCGACATGGTGGAGGTGAAAGTGACTATTGCTCTGCGATGACGAGTGGCGGCGGAGATCGGCGTGACTATCGATAAGGGCAGTGACAGGGGTGCGTGCGCCTGGCAACTGCAACACGTGAGGCGCGTGCAGCGTTGCTGGGTTGACGGCCGTTAGCGTAAACAGGGCCAAACACCAAGGAAACTTGGCTTCCATCCCACCCACTGTACATTACATACATCCCTCGCTACCTCCGAGCTCTACTAACCCAGCAGCTTGCTACCCTATCCTACCCTTAATCGTTGCATGTCTTTTGAGCAATAGCAATACCTTCACCATGCCCGAGGAAGAAAAGTACGATGTGCTCGAGAAGATTGGTACGGACCGCCCCCGATAGGCGCAAGAGGACGCATACTGACGTTGTATAGGCCATGGGTCCTTTGGTATCATCCGCAAGGTCAAGCGGAAGTCGGATGGCTATGTAAGTAGCGACGACGAAGCCTGCGCGCGCGATGTGCTAACCGCCGCCTAGATCCTGTGCCGCAAGGAAATCAGCTATCTCAAGATGTCGCAGAAGGAACGCGAGCAGCTCCAGGCCGAGCTGTCTATCCTCAAGGAACTCCGCCACCCCAACATCGTCGCCTACTTCGAGCGCGACCACATCAAGGCATCGCAGGACCTCCACCTCTACATGGAGTACTGCGGCAACGGCGACCTCGGACGTGTCATCCGCGACCTCAAGAACAAGAACCAGGTGTGCGAGGAGGAGTTCGTCTGGAGCATCTTCAGCCAAATCGTCAGCGCTCTGTACCGCTGCCACTACGGTGAAGACCCACCTGCGGCAGGCCGCAACGTCATGGGACTCGTTGGCAACGCGAAGCCTGCCCGTGACCCACGCAAGCCCATGATCCTCCACAGAGACCTCAAGCCCGAGAACAGTCAGTATCTGGTCATCTCCACGTCGCGTGACTCTGCGCTAACAACTCACAGTCTTCCTTGGCGATGACAACAGCGTCAAGCTGGGCGACTTCGGTCTGTCCAAGATCCTCCAGTCCCACGACTTCGCCTCCACCTACGTCGGCACGCCGTTTTACATGTCGCCTGAGATCTGCAAGGCCGAGCAATATGGTCCCCACTCCGATATCTGGGCACTCGGGTGCATCATATACGAGATGTGCACAAAGTCACCACCCTTCAATGCCAAAACACACTTCGAGCTCATCTCGAAGATCAAGCTGGGCCGATACCCCGACATACCGGCCTGCTACTCGGCAGAACTGCGAAAGGTCATTGCAAGCTGCCTGAACACAACGCCCGACAACCGACCAGACACAGCCGCACTTCTCAACCTGCCAATCGTCAAGCTTATGCGCAAAGAGCAGGAAGTCGTTAAGCTGGGGCAAGATCTCCGTGAGCAGCGTATGCTGACAGCGAAGCGGGAGAAGGAGGCAAGCGAAGCCATTTCACGGATACGCAAAGAGTTGGACGACCAATTACGACGAGAGTGGGAAGTCAAAGCACAGTTGGAGATTGAGCGACAAGTGAAGCTGCAAACGGAACAACGAGTACAAAAAGAGCTGGCTCAGCTCCAGGCGACCTTCGAGGGAGAGGTGAATAGGCGGGTAGAGCGCGCCCTGAAGATGTACCCCAACCGTCTGAGCACATCGCCAAAGCTGGCTCCTCGGTCCAATACGCCTACTATGGCGGCAACAGAACCAACGTCTGCTTTGTTCTCAGCAGAGTCCGATGGTGCCGTTAAGAGCGGCTCGCAAAACACCCTCAACACAGACTCCGACTTCGCCAGCGGAACAGACCTATCGTCACTCTCCCTGGACGACCACACCGAAGATGTCACCATCGCAGCTAAGCCAAAGGCAAAGCGACCGTCCCGCGGTCCCCTCGTCCGCGCCCGCACAATGTTCTCGCAGCCTTCCACCACACAAGTACCCGACTCTCCCATGGATGTGCAGATGGCTGAGCCGTCGCCGGCACCTATCTCACTCAAGGGACTCTCGCTTTCCCCTCGTCGCAACCAGCAACCTAAGCAAAATATCTTCGCTGCTGCTAAGGAAGGCGCGAAGAAGTGGGAAGCTGACGTTCCCCCGTCGCCAACTGAGGCAGAGTGGAACGCCGACTTCGACGACGATGATGATCTTCCTGTTCTGCCATCGCCAACCCGCGCACGAAGCGCCTCTGGGGGTCGTCCTATGAGTGCGGACCCCTTCAAGGTGCTCGCAAATGCCCAAGCGCCACTGTTGAAGGCCAACGGTCGATTGGGAAGCACACCAAACCTCCTGGGTCCCAGAACTACAAAGCCCCGTCCTGTTTCCGCCGTACCCATCGTCGCTGCGTCGCCTTCTCGAACGAAGTCCAAGTCCACCGACACCGCATCAACATCGCCGCGCAAGACAGGCGCTACAACAAAGTCCATTCCATTTGCTGGACTCCCATCAAAGAAGGGCAACGAGGCATTCCGCGTTCAAGCGATGCGCAACAACGGCGGCGTCCAGGGCCGCACACTAGTCGAACTTCAACAAGCGCGCGGTATCCCTGTGCACACTATGAGTGAAGACGAGGGAGGCGCGAAGAAGGGCTTCGGATACAACGGCCGAAGGAGTCCCGTCAAGCGAACTGGCGGTATCAGCCCACCCGCAGTATGGGACCCCGAGACCGAGCCGGAGATGCCATCTCCTTTTATCCAACGCAGCAAGCGCATGGTCCGGTAGGACGGACGATGTGTGACAGCCCCGGAACGATTACGACATATACAACAACGACACGACGAAGGGTAAACAATGGGGTGTTTGGACACATAACATTCCACGGCGTTGGCGTGACGAAAGGAGGGCGGGCAAATACCATTTCCTTTGTCTCATCAAACGGAGTGGTGTCTGGCGTTGAGGATTGTGGATTGAAAGCGAGCGTTTGCCTCGCGTCCCATCTACCATCTCTTCCCTTTGTCATCATCATTGCATCTGCGCTTTGTTTTACGCACATTTTCCACGAACGCATACTAGCATCTTTTTGGCGATATTGTGGGTTGGGTTTGGATAGGCGTTTGAGGCGTTGCACCGTGATGAGACGGGTTGCATCTGTACTCTTATTTATTGCGACGAATGTTACTACTACCATACTTCACTAAATGCACTTATGAATGGCGTGGTATGATTAAGAATGTATTGGAGCGAGGATTACCATCCAAAGCTTTCTGTGTGTAGGTATATGCCCTGCGCTCCCGTCCCTTTGTGCACCGCGCGCTCATCGCTCAACCAGACAACATCATGCTTCACGTCTGCCACCAACCCCTGCGGTCCACACACCACGACCGCACTCTCGCCCAACGCTTGTTCTAACGACCTGCGTATGATATCCCGCGTCTTCGGTCGACCGGAGTATATCGCTATCGACGGATGCACGACGACTCTTTGGCCTTTCTCGAGAGATGAGGGTGTGGAAGGTGCGAGAGATGTAGGACGAGACAAGGCAGTGGCTTGAGGTTTCGAACAGCTGCACACCGCTTTACTAGCTGAAGACGATTCGTCAACCGCAGTGCGGCAACAGCATGTGCCGTTCGGACCACATGCTTCTTGGATATCGAGACTTGATGAATCGATCGATGTTACTTCTTGGTATCCCTGCCTATGCGCTTTCTTCTCGCTCTTCTTTTCTGATGTCTGTGAGGGCGATCTATATTGCACGGTCCCATGCTCGGGTTCGTTCTGTGCCCTTGCACTCACATTGGGTGCAGTCACGCCTGAAAGCACGGAGTTGTGCTCTTCTGTGAAGGACTCGTCGCAGGTGATGTAGACGCTCATCTCGAGTTTGATGTCGCGGAGTGTTTCCTGTAGCGTTCGGAACTCGGTGTACACGGAGGAAAGTTGCTCGGAGAACCAACTTAGCTGTCCTCTGCTCTTGACGACCCATACGAAGCGGATGTGTCGTGTGACTGCACCTGTTGGTGTTTTGAAGATCGAACTGCTGCCTGTGTTGCCACAAGCATTCTCCTTCCAACCCTGGAGGAGGTCGCGGAGGAGTGGGAGAGTGAAAGTACCGCCGGTACTTCCTGCGAGGAGAACGACACTGTCGAATTGGCGCAGTGGTCTCAGAGTGCCGTATGGGCCTTCTATGGCCACAGTCCTGGCTTTGACGGGCACTCCAGATAGACTACCGGATTTCTCCGCGTGTCTGAAGAGACGCTTAGTACCTCCCTTCTCGGCCTTGATGTAAAACTCCATCTTCCCATCTGCTGGTATCGAGGCCACGGTGAATGGATGGCTTTGTAACGGCACAACAGAGTGACATGATAGATATACATGTTGACCAGGAGTCCAGCTGATGGGTGGGTTAGGTATAGTGATTCGGGTGGTGTTGTGGGGGAGAGGTGTGAATTCGGCTTTGCACGCCCAGAGGCCATTCAGTTGGCCCCGCTTCTTTAACGCAGGATGAAAAATGGAGCTGTTGATGTATAGCAGTCGCAATGCCCGGAAGAGGCGGTCGAACAGAAAGATGGCAACAGGAGCCCAGACATAGCCGTTCATCTCGAGAGGGGTATGAATGTAGACGAACGCAAGGAAAACTGCAAACGAAACGATATGTTGAATGACGAAGATCTCGTAGTTCCAGCCTCGGATCGGTGTCATGGAACTGAACACAATCCACGCCAGGGTACACCATGCACCAAGGCCTTTCCAAACGATCGCGTTATTCTTGAATTGGTAGCCGATGTAATCGTATGGAGCCCACGCACTGAGGAAATACCCCAGGTGCATGGTGGCCGTAAGCAGCATGCATCGAGCGCACCATCGATGTAGCCAATTCAAACGCTCGTAACTCACACCGCTCAGACATCCGATGATGTTATTCTTGCCCGCTAGCAGGACGATAATCGGTAGTTGGGCGATCGTGACCACACCGCACCGAAAGCCAATGTTCTCCATGCTGAACATATCCGTCACATCGAAGCCGTACAAGCATAGAACGACCAGCACAACTACGTTTCCGACAACGAGCGACGATCGTCCGACTGTTGGTAGTCTGAGTATGCGACCTTTCAGTGGTATGCGTAATGAGAAATTGGACGCTTCGCGTGTAAGGGCGTAGAGTGTCGCATTCCCGAGGGCGAACCATGAGATGGGCTTTGCAGGCGTCCGCGATCCCCCTCTTGCTGCGAGCATTCTTTGGCGGTATAGCACATAGTTGTACACGTTGAACAGTGTTGCGACGCCGACTGCGGCCCCAATCACGGCGTAGTAGAAGTCCGGCCATTCTGTGAGCGGGGGCAAGGCGCCCATGGAGCCCATCGACATGTGATTGTGGCTCATGATGCTACGCGCTGCTGCACCGTTGCCGACTCTTGTTTGGTCTATGTTTCCAGGCTTGCACTGGATGCAAGGTTGGGCGGTTGCCAGTGATGGATGGCGTGTGCCTGTATCGATGTTTATCGCATGCTGACTTCGTCGCAAGCAGTCTGAGATGTAACCAGGGTCGTTGTTTCGTTGGTACGTCGAAGGATCGGTATGGATACGCACTCTAGGACGTTGGGAAATAGACAGTGTGTGACAGTGTCATAGGAGGTTGACGAAATGTGATAGTCGTCCAGCGAAAGACGCACACACGCACCGTCTTCAGCCATGGTCCCGGTAATAGTCCATGTGGCCGTAGTGCCGACTGTAATCAATTGCCTCTCAGATGCAGGGCGGCAGGGTCGATGCACTGCGGGGGTGCATCGAGGCCCAGCGGGCACTCTGTTGGCCGTGGCTTGAAATAAGCTTCATGCGCTAACCATAACCGGCTAATTATGCTCAAAGTCGCTCCTTGGGAGTCCGGCTGCTTGAACGTCGCTCACACGCCCGAGCCACCGACAGCGTGCCATGGCCCATACAACGCGCATGGAAGGGATCTTTCCGTAGCTGCGAGATTTGCCTGTCATACATGTAGGCGGGAAGGCGTTGCCGAGAAATGTGCTCACATGCCCCGACGCTCCACGCCTCAGCCCAGACTTGACCATTTCTTGAGTGTCTCAGAATCTTACGCATTCACCACAGTTGTATACACTGCAACACGAAACCAGCGCCTCCAGGTCGTGCGTTCATGCTGAGGCGCCTTCATCTTTACGGAACTGGAACCAGCGAACGCGCAAGCCCACAGCGTACCGAGAAGTCTTAAGCGATCGCCTGCCCCAGGACTAAGATAGCAGTCTGGAACTCGGTACCTATTCTTCGATCCCTTATCACCCCGCGCGACCTAAACGGAACCCATCCTGAGCCTCATCAACGGAACCTTCTTATCGCTACACGCACGTCGAACCCATCACCATGGTTGCTCACGAGGGTCACGATATGGCTATGGATTCGATGGATATGGGCGGCATGTCCATGGGTACTTCCTCACATGGCGGTATGGCAATGGCGTTCGTCACGTCAACGACCACTCCTTTATTCTCCGAGGCTTGGACCCCGACGACCGCTGGTCAATACGCAGGGACATGCATCTTCCTTATTATCTTGTCCATAATCCTTCGCGCCCTCTTCACCGCAAAGACATACCTCGAGATCAAGGCAGTCAAGAGCGCGCTGAAGCGACGCTATATCGTCGTTGCCGGCGAGAAAGCGGTTGTCGATAGCGCTGCAGACGACGCCAACTCGATGACCGGTGTCCTCACAACAAACGGTGTCCAGGAAGATGTGCGCATCATTTCGGCGCCGGTCTCTCACATTCAGCCATGGAGATTCAGCATCGACCTACCCCGGGCACTGTTGATGACAGTTGTGGCCGGCGTCGGATATCTCCTGTAAGCACTACGCATTGCAGTCATTGCGTCAAAGCTAACTTTTGGGCAGCATGTTGGCAGTCATGACTTACAATGTTGGATACTTTCTGTCCGTGCTAGCAGGTGCATTCGTCGGTGAGCTGGCGTTTGGCAGGTTCAATCAGGTTGCGGCGCACTAAGTCTTCGACTTGCATTCTGTTATTCATATCCAAACAAAGCTTTGTTAGAACGTAATATTCATCGTGATACCCCAGACACATATTTTAAAGAAGGTTCCTCAACACTTCGAGTTCATTCAGTGGCTAGGAGCTTCCTCGCAGAACCCGTGGGGTGCACAAAGCTTATTTCCAGCAACACAAATGCGATTCATGAACGTGGTATTCCCATAATCTTGATCTCCATTCCCGGCTATACAGTAGAACCATAATCTAGGCCTCGGCGCGTCACCGGAAATGCCATCGGTGAAATGTAACCTTGTTGGACGCTAGTCGCTTCCGCGGTGAGGAACCACCGCTTTGGTAATAAACTTGCTCAATTGTCGGCACCCTGCGCGCCACACGATACCATACCCTAACGGCTTGCACATTAGCGACAGTCGCCGCTGATGCAGGATACTGCTCACTTACTGCTATCCGCTTAGATCGTCGACCTATTCGAAACGCGGGATCAATGCAGGTCGCTTCGAGTGCTCACGGGCGAGCCACGCGATTTACTGGAACGGAATGCACGGCATGGGATGGAGTGCGGTCCAGAGTAAGCTGTAATAAATACGGCAGGTGATCCCGGCGTTTACTTATTGTTTATTGTTGCTCTCTTAACCTTCTCGCATTCCTCTGCATCAAGTTGAAAGCGCTGCTCCCTCTCTTTCCTACACGGCATCAAGACCTACGTTTACCTCTCAATCGTCAATATGCTTACCAACGGCGCTCTTGCGCTCGCCTTCCTTCCTCTTACACTCGCCCATTTCCAGCTCAATTTCCCTGAAGCGCGTGGATTCACCGATGACACTGAGGGCAACTTCCCTTGTGGAGGCTACAACGATGTCCAGCAAGAGCGCACCGATTTCCCAATCAGCGGAGGGCCGATACAACTGCACATGGAGCACCCGCAGACCAACGTTGCTGTTTACATGGCCATTGGCGATAACCCAGGAGATGGATTCAGTATCGTCGCGCAACAGCAGACCCAAGTATCAGGTCTGGGAGACTTCTGCTTCGGTCACGTCTCCCTACCGGAAGGATTGAATGTGACGGATGGTACCAAGGCTTCAATACAAGTTGTTACCAACAACCACGAGGCGGGTGGATTGTACCAGGTAAGCCTTTGACATGGAATGGTCCATTATCGCAAGACAGTCGCTAACGGCCACATAGTGTGCGGACGTGACCCTGGTCAACAACGCCCAGATCAACTTCGCCGACAACTGCAAGAACCAGACAGGCATGAAGGTTACTCAGGAAGACATTCCAGGAAACCCCAATGGAACGGAGACGGAGACAAGCCCAAGCTCGGCCGCCAGCGGCAGTGCTGCATCAGCGACGCCGACAGGTGCAGCAGTGCAAGCGAAGGCTTTCTCGTGGGCATTGGGTGCTGTTGGTGTGGCTGGAATCGCACTGCTCTAAGTAGATGTGGGCATTTCGAAGTAGAGCATTAATACCACTATTCGCGATCAAATTCAACACAACCTTGGAAGGGTTCCGTCTGCTGGGATGTGAAGCATTTTTCCATTGGTGTAAAGTCGATGGACCGCCATTCCGCATATTGGCCTTGGGTGTGCACCGCGGTTCCATCTGTGCATCTGCATATGCATGTGAATTCAATTGAAACAATGAACAACGCGTCATGTTAAGTGTCTCGAAAGATGGTTGTGCTATGACCCCTCTGACGTTGCGGGGATCTGAAGCTTCCACAAGCGAGGACATGCACACAATCGGCGCTTCCGTCGAGTTTCGCCGATGGCCGCAACAACTTCACCAGCAACACCACACTCCAAGTCTCGGCCACGATCCCGAATTTAGGTGCGTACCGGCCCCGCGCTCGCTCTGAGCCCAAGCCCAAGCCCCAATCTGCGCAGAATCCGGACACGACCGCTGACACTCCACGCCTACAGCTCTCCCCACGTAGTCATCCTTCCTCAACACCGCAAATATGGATCAAGCAAAGTTGGCGCGCATGCAAGCGTCGGTGCGCATTGGTACGTACTCCAATTCTGAGCTGCAATTGTCCATAGAGCAGTCAGCTAGATCATTCGAGGGAGTAGTTGCTAACTCATGTGTGTACAGGGTAAGCAAGCTTCTCCTGCTGTATTTTGACAGCCCCGCACCACAAAATATCACGAACCCGCGAAATCCCACCACGACCGCCCATTGGTAGCGAGCGATACTCAGGAATCAGATGGCTATAAGGAATTCGAGGCTAACTCGATATACAGCGGCAAGGGTACTCCCCGCAGGAAGGTCAAGAAGGTCCACAGGGCCGCTGGCACCGACGACAAGAAGCTCCAGACCGCGCTGAAGAAGCTCAACGTCCAGCCTATCCAGGCCATTGAGGAGGTCAACATGTTCAAGAGCGACGGAAACGTCATCCACTTCTCAGCACCAAAGGGTACGTCATCCCAGGCGTCGTGACATGTGGATAGGGAAGAGTGCCTTGGTACATCGCAGACATGGCACTACATGATCCACACTCATGTCACCCTACTTTTCCGTCACATTACATACTAACTCACGCATCGTATAGTCCACGCATCAGTACCTGCCAACACCTTCGCCATCTACGGACATGGTGAGGACAAGGAGCTGACAGAGCTCGTCCCCGGCATCCTCAACCAGCTCGGCCCCGACTCACTCGCATCGCTACGCAAACTCGCCGAATCTTACCAGAGCATGCAGAAGGAGAAGGGCGAGGACGGTGACAAGAAGGAGGACGACGACGATGAGGACGATGATGACATCCCCGACCTCGTCGCTGGCGACAACTTCGAGTCCAAGACTGAGGTCGAGTAAGAAGTTACGCAAAAGTAGCTTAAGAAAGATCCGGAAGAGGCAGAGAGGAGATTATGTGCAATGACGGCCTACCGCATGTATATTGATATGGAGGACTTCATGAATGCAACGACCGTGACGGTCAGCAATCGCGGTGGGTCTTGCAGGCAAAATACCGGACTGGCGTTATGTCTCAGGAAAGATATGAATGAAAATCTTCTAGCACGCTCTTCACGATCACTGCGCACAGATGACGAACTAGAGCATACCTATATTTCACGTTACGAAGCCTTGAAGCCCGCGTCCGCGTTTGTTGGTTAGACACTGCGGATAAAGTTTCCAAAGATGCTGCGGAGAACCCGGAATACCAAAGATCTCAGGAGTACGTCATGCCAGATGACCCACCTGCAGGACTCGCACTTCGCGATGCTCTTGTCACGAGGTCGGAATGTCTCCGCGTTGTTCATGGTTTCCAAGCATGTAAGCACCCTCTGCACAGCTATGTACTGTCAGCGACGGATCGGCAGCAAGGGATTCCGGGATTTAG